TCATGTGTGGAACAGTACTGAAAGATGATCCCCCATCAATGAGATGGGGGATCAATGATGCTAAACGTCAATGTTTAACTTTCAAGCTGCTCATTAAATCTGTGTCTAAACAAACACCTTTGTGCATTCGTGCTTGTGTTCAGGACTACACTACCCAGGTTCCCAGAGGGCATGAAATCCTTAGCTGCCCTGTCACACGCATGTACCCCACTGATGACTGCGAGCCTTGTAAACCTGGAGAGGTGGTATGTACACACAGACACACACACACACACACACACACACCTCAGGCTGGAGCTCACCCCTGGCCCTTCAGCCAGTATTAGTCTCTCTACATTCCTACGCCGTTCTTAAGGGAAACGGGCAGAGAAGGCTGAGCTGTGACAGGAACATCAGTGGCACCAGGTCTTTTGGACTTTGTGGTCCAAGTTGTCCTCTGTAAGCACAGTCAGGCATGACACCAGTGACTGTGGCCCTGTGTACAACAGGATGCAGACTGTGTTCATGCAGCGTTCGTGTGGGATCATCATGACTGAGTGGAACAGAGAAATGTTCTTTAGGGTTACTTAGACGAGCTGTTCAGGCTGTGTTACAGGGATCGTACCAAATACTCACTTTGTGCTGTTTGACTGTATTTCTGGACGTTTCAATGAATCTCTGCACCTATTGTCCCTAAAATATGAAGAAATGAGGGGGTGGCTCAAGATTTTTGCACAGTACTGAAAATATTTTCCTTAAGTTCATTTTCAGGCGGCATGCTTATCTCAGGGCTTCACTAAACACTGCAAACAATTTAACAAAGCAGTCAGCACTCGCACACTGACATACCGTCATAGCTAGCTGATGTGTAACCTTTGACCCAAAAGGAGGCTAAACTACAAAGACCACGATCCTAACGAGCTGCTCCTCTTATTAATCAGAGCACTAATAGTACATTTAACAGGTGCACACCTGGACTGGTACACCTGCTCCTCCTGTGTTCCAGCAGCATCGGCGTCTCTTTAATGCGACTGCTGGCAGTCACCAAATACTGGAGTGGCCCACACAGATGCTGAGTGTTGTGTGTTTATGCCCCGAATGTTCTGTGTGTTCATACATGTGCAGGAGCAGCCTCTGTATGATGTGATCCATGAAGCTCTGCGGCGCCACTTGGAGGGCATTTCCTTCAGAGAGAGAAACGCTGGACCCAAAATAGACATGAAAATGAGAGATGAAGGTGTGTGTGTTAAATGAGTTGCGTATTCAGAGTACTTATACACATTTTAAGAAAGTAATTTCTAACAGCTGATAAGCCGATGACATCATCTGGTTTTACTAAGTTCTTACTACCAAGATTTTTCGGGTACTGCACCTCACAACCTTTTGCTCTTTGCAGGGTTCAGCGTCGTTGCTCGGGTCGACCCCGCCACAGGTTTTGTGAGCGGAGGAAACCGCTTTAACTGCGGCACATGGATGGACAAGATGGGAGAGAGTGAGAGAGCCAGGAACAAAGGCATGCCTGCTACTTCAAGGTAACACAAACTCCTCACGCTGTGCAGTAAGTGACCCGCAGACTCCAGCTGCTCACATTCTACTGTCTCTACTGTTTTTACTGAAGTCAAATAATCAAAAAAGACTTCGCTGAAGCCCTCCATCAGGTTCAGAGTTGTATAAGTAACATATTAAACATGCTGAGACAGCAGCCCTCACAGAGTGCCACATCTGTGGTCGAACAGCAGAGCTTGGTGTTCGGGCTCCTCTGTGAAACTTTCCCAGGGTCCTCCCTGCTGCTGGTGTCCAGCTCTCTGTGGTGGGGGTGGGGTGGGGGTGCCACACACAATATTTAGTTTCTGGGTCTCATCATGGTGCACTCTGCTGGCTATTATGAAACACACACACACACACACACACACA